TTTCTTTCTTTCTTTCTTTCTTTCTTTCTTTCTTTCTTTCTTTCTTTCTTTCTTTCTTTCTTTCTTTCTTTCTTTCTTCCCAGCTGTTATTACAGCTGGAAGAACCAGCTCTCTTCACAGCCTGAAGCACTAAGGTGTTCCAAGGCCAGGCAGGGTTGAAGGGTGGGGCAATTTGTTTGTACAGCTGGATAAAGGTAGCTCAACTGTCAATTTCTGGGCCTTGTTTGTCTTTTTGCCAATGGCTGGAAGTCTGTCTTCTCCAGGGGTGGGATTCAAACATTTTAGCAACGGATTCTCTGCCCAGTTGCTGGGTGGGTGTGACCATGGTGGGCGTGGCCTAGTTAGCCTCCTGTACCATGGCGGGGCGGGGGGGACCCCTCTGGAGGATTTCCTTGAGCCTCTGGGAGGGTGACAATGGCCTCCCCGGGCTCTGGAGGCTCTCTGGAAGCCGGAAACAGGCCCGTTTCTGGCCTTCCTGAACTTCCAGGAGTCTCGTTTTTCACCCTCCCCCAGCCTCTGTGCGTGCCCTCCACTTACCTGCATCCAAAACGGGCCAAGTGGGGACTCCTGGGAAGGGTGAGGTGGGGTAGGTGGGGCCAGCCAGGGGTGGGATTTTGGGGTTTTCCAAACTGTGCAGAATCTTAGCTAGGGACTCTCCCGAACCCCTGCGAACCCCCCAGCAGCCCATCCCTGGTCTTCTCCCTGATTCTTCTGTTCTCCATTCTCAGCCAGCTGTTTGGGATTTAGTCAAATACAGTTAGGTACACGTTCTAATATTTAAAAAGGGAAATTACTCTGGTAAAATTGTGAGCTGCTCTATTCCTGGAGATATTCAAGGAAAGATTGGATGCTCCTTCGTTTGGGGCCCAGTAACATCTTCTGCCTTGGACAGGGGTGGGATTCTACCAGTTTGCACTGGTTCAGGTGATGCGGTAGTTTCGGCGATCATTTGGCCCCGCCCCGCTGCTCTGGCCCTAGTCTGTCCTTTATTTCCGTGTTTTGCAGGTCAGCTGATTCGCGCGGCACAACAGATTCCCGTGCCTCAGCTGTTTTATTCACCGGGGCTGCAGTAGAAGGTAAGTCTTAGAGCTGAAAATGGGTGGTTTTCAAATGTTGCGTGCGCGAAGCGCACACTCATTGAACTGGTCGTTATACCGGTTGTATCTCACCATTGGGCACGGTGTTGGATGAGAAGATGTCCAAGGTTTCTTCCAGCCCTATGATTCTATTATTATTCTCCCCTCTCCACCCACTCTTCTTCATCAGAACACCTTTGAAGTTCAGCAGGTGGCAAATCTGCAAACAATCTTTCCACTGATTGGTTATAAGGAGGCTGGTCCTTTCTCTCCAACCCACTTTTGAATTTCCAATGAAGCTGTGATCATAGAACACTTTTTTTTTATTGTCTAATTCATTTGTTCACGGGTGGGCTTCAAAAATTTTAGCAACCGGTTCTCTGCCTGGTTGCTGAGTGGGCATGGCCATGGTGGGTGTGACCTAATCAGCCTCCTGCACCATGGTAGAGGGGTATTTTTGATCTCCCCGGGCTGCAGAGCCTTTCCTCACGCCTCCAGGAGGTCAAAAACAGTCTCCCCAGGCTCCAGAAGCCCTCTGGAGGCCAGAAACGAACCCATTTCTGGTCTTCCGGAGCCTCCGGGAGGCCCATTTTTTGCCATCCTTGAGCCTCCACATGGGCCCTGTACTTACCTGGGATCCCAAATGGGTTGTGTGGGGACTCCTGGGAGGGGAGGGGTCACCCAGGGATGGGATTTGCCGGTTCACTGAACCAGCCATAAAATTAGCTACTGGTTTGGTTCTGGTTCACTTGAACCGGGATGAACCGGTAGCAGCCCATCCCTGCGTTTGTGTCATCAAATTGGTGTTGTCTTAGGAACTACATACATTTCCTAGATTTGTTACTGGCCTAGTATTTCAATTCTTCATAGAACACATTGACTCTTAAATCCACGCTTACCAAAGCACTGTTAAGGAAGTCCACAAAACGCTGTATTTAATGTACACTAGGGCGTTGTATCCCCTGATGGCAAAGTGGTTGAACTGCAGTATTGCAAGCAAAGTCTGCCCACAGCCTGGAGTTCGATCCTGATGGAGTTCCAGGTTGACTCAGCCTTCCATCCTTCCAAGGTCGGTAAAATGAGGACCCCAGATTGTTGGGGGCCATATGCAAATAATGCTTTTACATTGTAAACCACACAGAGAGTTCTGAAAAGTGTTATGGGGGAGTATATAAGCCTCAATGCTCTTGCTAATTTGAAGAGAACACCGTTTGCTTGCTCTGGTCCCAATTGAGATAGTAAGTCAAAGACTATCTCTATAGACATTGCTAGAATTCATGCTAGGGTCATCCTGTGTTCATCTGACATATTATAGAATAGGTCCCCTTTGAGGTTGGGTTGGGATAAAACGTCAAGATGGCAGCTATGATCATCCAATTGAAGTCCCACCCTATTTTTCCATGCATTGTGCAAACAACTTAGGCAACCATGAGATGTTGCATGTTATGAAATAAAGTGATGAAAAATAAAACAATATATGGTTTTAATTGGGTGTTAAAGGGGAGTTATTATGTTTGTTATTGAACTCTGTTTTTTGTTTCCTGGTTGTATTTTAATTATATGAGCTGTTCAGAGTCACAAATGTGGGATGGACATCTATACACATTGAATGAATGAAAGAATGAATGAATCAATCAATCAATCAATCAACTAATGAATGACTGAATGAATGAGAGCATTTTTTTTCATAATACCTGAAGGTTATTTCAAATCACAAGAAATGAAGCTTAACTCGAATGAATGCCATAAGAAAGGCATCCTTGGAGGCGGGGGGTCAAATCAAGATGGCTTCTCCTTCATCAGATCTTTTAATTTTTGAGTCATATGTGACTCTGTTGGACCTCTCTGGCAATCCCTCACTTGTATCATCCCTGCAACTGAATCCATCCACCTTGTTGCTGGTTGTCTTCTTCTTCTTTTTACTCCCACCTTTCTCAGCATGAAAGCCTTCTGCAGAGAGGTAAGTCCTTGCATCATGGAGATTAGATATGGAGATGAGAAAGTATGGCTACCTACTGTAGCTCCATAAAATTAACCTTGCATATTGACAGTTTAGGATTGAAATATTAATTAAAAACTTGATGGTTTTGTACACAAAGGGACTTGAGGGGCGAAAATACCTTTGACCTTCCTGCCATTAAAGCTCCAAAATCAGATGGTTAAAAATAGTCTATGGCATGCAAGAATTGTGATACCTAAAATGAAGAGCAAAGAGAAAAGAGTTGAAAAGAAGCAAAGAAGGAAAAACAGCCCACAGAGATAATCCTTAAAGAAGAGGAAAAGGAACAAAGAATATTGAGGTAGAAAACTTAATTATAGGAAGATGAAATACTATTAAATGATATCTCATAAGAGCAAAGAAGGACAGAATTTCAGTCTTGAGTTTAATATCTTAACATTGGATCCTGTTGTAATAAAAAGGACCCTTGTTATAGCAACTATATCATCTCATCCTCAACTCTGCCACCACGCCCAAATAAACCTACAACAGGTGTGTGTTTGTGTCACTTAAGGTCAACAGGTATTAAAGTCCTAGATAAAATCTTCATAGAAGTTATGGTCCAGATAAAACCCATGTTTTAAGCAGGGGTGGGGTTTTTTTTCCATTACATTAGCTTTGGTGATCAGAAAAACAATCATCAAAGATTGTTTCAATCTCTTCCCACCTCTTCTTCCCATTTGCCCAGGTCTAAAAAAACATGGAGATTTTTCTCAATGTCAGCAGATCCTCTAACAACAATTTAACTCATCGGAGCTATTTTCTGGATAGACAGCGAGAGCAAAGAATTTCACGGGAGCATCCATATGGATGAATAATATTGGCTTCAGCTTGGGCTGAATGGCTCTTTTAGCCAGAGTGTACTTAATGATCTTTAATCTACTAGGAGCACAACAAGTTAATCATGATGTCAGCAAGATCCAACTGAAGTAGCGTTGACCCGAGAACTATGAAAACATGGTGTCTAGCAAATCATGGTGTTTCTTTGAGAGTCCCAGCTGCAGCTGTTATTGTGAAAGCAGCAATGAAGATCTGCTTCTTCACTTCTTCCCACGCTTTCTCTTGGTCTGCTTTGTGATCAATGTCAAACAGGGCATCATAGATCCCAGGGAAGGACACTCCAGCGTACTTGTTGTGACTGTTTGGAGCAAAGATGATGTGTCTAGAAAAAAAAGCAGTCAGGTCAATTGACCATTGGAATCACATGATTTAGAACAGAAGTTCTCAAGGCTTGAAACAAATCGGCATTCTCTAACCCGCTGCCTTCAAAACATTAAGAAGGACTTCATTGAATCAGGCCAGAGGCTCACCTAGTCTACATTCAATGTCACCTAATCAATAACCAGATGCATTCTGAAAGCCCAAAGGATTAGATTGGTAGGTGAAAGATCTCTTTTGAAGAAGATCTCAAGATTTGTTTTTAAGAAGCAGTTCAAAGATTAGGAGACACCAAGTCTTCTCCTCCATTGTTTAGTTTCCATATCTCAACTGACCATCTTTACACCTGATAGAATGACCTCTATGGCTTATTTGGACTTCATTACCTTTCAGGCAAATATCTGGATGGGTTGTTTTTTTCAAACAAATCCAACATGATATGATGGACAAGGCAATTTCTTGTTAAAAACTTTGAAGGCCATCAGCTGGGAGACCCAATGGGCTTCTTTAAGCCATTGGTTGGTCACTGTGAGAACACATTATGAACTAGATGGGCCAGAAGTCTAGTCCAAAAGGTCACTGTTTATGTTCTTATGATATATAAGGACCTTTAAGACTGGGAGAATGGAAAGAAGGTTGACAAGCCATCCTGAATCGCTGAGTTGAGTTAGGTGGCTATAGAAATTGAAGAAATAAATATATATTTTTCTCCTTACCTATAAAATGGTCTGCCGGGCAATCCAAGAGGATCAATAAATGCTCTTTCCAAGAACATCAGTTGATCATTCCAAGATCTTACTTCAAGTGGGCTGGAAATTAGATAATTGAAAAGACAATGTTAGAGGGAATATGGCTTTTGATCAGGATGCACAGACTTCGGAAAACCAAGCAAAGATGAGAGAGGATATTTTAACTGAACTTTCTCAAGATGGAAATTACAAGGATCCCTTCAACTTCAATTATTATCAGGAGAATGGAGGATATCTTATCTGAATGGCCAGAAAATTAGGAGACTTACTTATGGATGTCCACTAATTCAAGTCTGCGATGAAAGTCATTAGCCACTTCTGAAAATGCCTTTACGGAATCCCGAAGCAAATCTGGAATAATGAAGACGAGAAAATGCTAAATTATGAGACTCTTACTTTTATTGTTTCCATAATATTAGCTCAAGTGCAGAGAACTTGTGGCTCTCACATCCCTCATTCCAGATGTAGAATTCAGCAGGTTCTGACCAGTTCTGGGGAACTGGTAGCGGAAATTTTCAGTAGTTCGGAGAACCGGCAAATCCCACCTCTGACTGGCCCCGCCCCCATCTATTCTCTACCTCCTGAGTCCCAGCTGATTGACTGGGTCTTCTTTTGTTGCCCTGCACAGGAGAACAGAGCTGAAAAGCAGGTTAGTAGGTGGGGAGGGAGTGGGATTTTGCAGTAACCTTCCCCTGGCATGGGGTGAGAATGGAGATTTTATAGTATTCTTCCCCTGCCACGCCCACCAAGCCACACCAAGCCCACCAAGCCACACCCACAGAATTGGTAGCAATTTGAATCCCACCATTGCTTTACTCCCCATGCTTTTTAGAGATATAAGAATTATAATTCAGAATTTTCCATAATGGCCTAGCATACTGGAGTTCTGAGACAGTGCCCAAACTGAGAAAGTAATTGTATTATGGCAGGAAGCCCATGTAAACAAACAGTAGGAAGAGGTCAACAATTATTCACTCTAAGGTAGTTTTTGTTTCACAGCAGTTAACTGAAAAAACAAAGGATTGTCTACTTTGGCAAGCCAAGGTGACTAGGTCAGCAGATGCTGATGACATAGGAAAAGACGAAAACTGCATGACACAGTCTTTTCAGGACCTGTTAGTTAATCTCCTGAATGCCATACAAGGAATAATGGATGGAAACTGACCAAGGAGAGATTCAACCTAGAAATAAGGAGAAATTTTCTGACAATTGAGAACAATCAACCCATGGAACAGAAGCTGTCTTCAGAAGTTGTGGGAGCTTCATCACTGGAGGCTTTCAAGAAGAGTCTGGATTGCCATCTGTCAGGAATGGTGTAGGGTCTCCTGCTTGGGCGGAGGGTTAGACTAGATGACCTACAAGGTCCCTTCCAACTCTGTTAATCTGTTAAATCTCTTGCCTTTGGGTGCAGTGGCTACACTTGAACTAGGAGTTATCTGCAGCTTGGTTCATATTTTATGTACACCGAATTGGAAAGGGGAATGGAGGTCCCATTTTGATAAAAGCAGCACATACGGCTGTCTATGTTTGTAAGGATACCACAAATTTCTGTTAAGTGAGACATTTGTTAAATGAGTTTTACCCTATTTTACGACCTTTCTTGTCACAGTCTCTAAATGAATCACAGCAGCCGATAAGTTAGTCACATGGTGGTTAAGTGAATCTGGCTTTGCTTGTCAGAAGGTCGCAGAATGTGGCAATGGTCATAAGTGTGAAAAACAGTCACGTCACTTTTTTCAATGCTGTTGTAACTTTGAACGGTCACTAAATGAACTGCTCTAAGTTGAGGACTACCTGTAATTCTGTTTTACAGGATTGCCTCCGCTCCTGGTGATGTTTTATCCTCTCTATTAGCCAGTTGCATTAGATAGTTGCATTCTTGTTGCCTCCATATCTTGTGGAACTAAGTTTCATGAAATAATTATGTGTGTTTCTGAGTTTATCATTTGCTTCATGGAGTGACTCTAGATCTACAGCAGCTTTAGGACTTTCCCTAAATCACAAGTAGGGAGAACATTTAGGTCTCGATTCCCTGATACTAATCTTCATTTTTTTGAGGTAACTGCTTTGGACAAAGTTCACAATATATCTGGAACATGTACAGTTGTGGTAAGCATTTCCCTTCCCCAATATATTTGGCTGAAACAGTGAGGAGGTTACACCAAAAAAGGATCCAATTGACCCAGTCAATTAACTCACAAGGGCTAAATCTAACCCCCAAAGACCCTTGGTGATACCCAGGCTGCACCCAGTCAAGGGAGTCATTTTGTATATCTAATATTTTTTTAAAAAAAGTACTGGAGAGAAAGAATTGTTAAGTAGGTATTCTTCACATAGCTGCTATCGGGATTCACCCAACAGGGAGTACTGGAGGTGACCCCACAAGAATCCAAGGGGCCCTTAATTAATATTTTTTGAAGAAAGATGAGGAAGCTCTAATTAAAAGGTTCTATCAACTTCTGGGTTTCAAGAGCAAACTCTAATCATGGATGGGCAACTATGGCAACTTTATGACTTGTGGACTTCAATTCCCAGAATTCCTGAGCCAGCATGAATTGAAGCCCACAGATCATAAAGTCGCCATAATGTCCAACCCTGGTTTAGAGATGCAGACAAGATAAACTCTTGGGCCTATGTAACAGATTACTGAGGCCTCTCTTTTTTATAGAAGTTTTCTCATTTGGAACATTTAGAACAGAGGTCTCATTCTCGCGGCCTGTGGGCCAATTGCGGCCTTCAGGACGATACCCTGTGGCCCCCACCGTGATATGAAAGTATAACATTTGAGGATATTTTTTTAACAACGTTTTTTATGGAATCCCAGCCTCACCCAGACTCTGCCTCCAGTGGCCCCCAGGTAAATTGAGTTTGAGACCCCTGATTTAGAACCATACAAGGAATGGTTGGAGGTAACTAAGAGAAGAATTAAGGGTTCTTCCAATATCTGAGGGATTGCCACAAAGAAGAAGGGGTCAACCTATTTTCCAAAGCACCTGAAGGCAGGACAAGAAGCAATGGATAGAAACTTATCAGTAATAGAGTGGTCAATGCCTGGAACTCACTACCTGACTGTTGTTACACCCTCAAACCCCCAAAACTTTAACTTTAAACCAGGGGTGGGATTCAAACTTTTTAACAACCGGTTTTGTGGGCGTGGCTTAGTTGGTAGGCATGGCTTGGTGGTCATGTGACTGGGTGGACGTGGCTTGGTGGTCATGTTATTGGCTGGGCGTGGCCAACTCAACATCACTCACATCGAGGCACGCATCTCCTCGCCTGGCCTCTCATGACTGTGGCGATGCTGCAATAGTTGTAAGTGTGAAAAATGGTCATAAGTCAGTTTTTTTCAGTGCCATTGTAACTTTGAATGGTCACTCCACACAAGCAAAGTATCAGCAAAGGAGGGAAAAAACCTCCAGAGAAGTTCCTGAGACAGGAAGTCTAGTCCTGCCAAGAATATAATAAGGGTTAACGGAGAGGCAGTTTCTGTAAGCAACACCAGAATGTTTCCTTCCTGCCTTCCTTACAGGATTAGGCCAGTCATTTCTTCTAACAACTGATTCTCTGAACTGCTTAGAATGTTAACAACCGGTTCTAGCGAATAGGTGTGAACTGGTAGAATCCCACCCTTGCCTTAAACTGTCTACCATGGACCTCACTCCATTCCTAAGAGGTCTGTAAGGGGGTGTGCATAAGCGCACCAGCATGCCTACCGTCCTTGTCCTACTGTTCCCATTTATTCATACTCATTTACAATGTATATACTTATACCAGTTTATACTTATATGTTTATACGTTATGTTCATACTTATACTTGTTTTCTCATACATGCTTGACAAACAAATAAAATAAAAAGTAAATAAAAATCAAGGAGAGAACCAACCTAGAATTAAGGTGAAATGACAGTGAGAACTATCAATCAGTGGGACACCTTGCCTCCAAAAGTTGTGGATGCTCCCATCACTGGAGGCTTTTAAGAAGAAATTGGACAGCCATTTGTCTGAAATGGTATAAGGTTTCCTGCTTGAGCTGGGGCTGGACTAGAAGACCTCCAAGGTCCCTTCCGACTGTTACTCTGTTGCTTTGCAATGGTCAGATGTTATTTTTCACTGACTGCCTGAGAACTCACTTTCACAACAAGTAGATCAAAGGAATCAGTGAGGAATGCTGTGTGTTACTGAAGATCCTACCTTGATGTTGGAGATTTGTCTGCTTACCTAATGATACTTGGTGTACTTCCATCGCTGCCCGATGTTTCGTGGTTATGTTGTAAATGATATCCACATAGCTATTAAGTGCCCTGGCGTAATCTCTGCAGTCGAAAGGGAGGATGACAGCCTCAGCCAGCTCAAACACCAGCCCGCCTCGCACTTGGGCTACAGCCAAGTGATTCTTGAAAGTTGGGTCATAAAACTTTTCCACGATCTCGTACGTCTCATAGACACTGTGATAAACTGGGTAGCTGCTGAATGTGTCCACTTTCTGGAAAGAAAGATGTCAGCCTACGTGGGCTCCGTTTTGGTTATTGAACAACGTTCATACACCAAGAAGGAGGGGTTTGCACAACGTATCCAACGCTTCAATTAGCAAAATAAAATGGGTATGTTCACAGATCTGTCCTAAGAGCTAATAATACATTGTGGCTGAACTGGATGGCTTGGATTGCAAATGCGCTAAAAAGGATTATCAGATGCACTCTAATTTCAATTGATATTTCACTTGCATTGCATTAATTATTTCCCAAGGTTTTACCAAAGGTGTTTTTTTTTTTCAGGAGGCAACTGGACTTTCTTGTTTTTTTCTTTTGAAGACGTTTCGCTTCTCATCCAAGAAGCTTCTTCAGCTCTGACAGGATGGTGGGGAATGGAAGGATTTATATTCCTTGCAGACAGCTGGTCATTTGCATCCTTTTAGAGGGTCGTTGAAGCACTTGTTTCCTCAAGATCTCCTGAGTAGTGCTTCTGGTTCCTGTGGCCTTCAATTTTTTTTCCCTCTGGAAGTCCACTCCTACTCCCACACCATCCAAAGGGTGTTCACCCCAAACTGTATAGCTAAAAGTCTTACAGAGCGGAAGAAGCTTCTTGGATGATAAACGAAACATCTTCGAAAGAAAAAAAAATCCAATTGTCTCCTGAAAAAAGTACCTGGTGACTGAGAATCTCTACAGACTTCCCAGGGTTTGATCATTTGCTCATTGCAAATGATAAATTGTTGCTGATTTGAATATGAGTTCTTTTTAAAAAAAAATTGTTACCCCGCCTTTATTATTTTTATAAATAGTTCAAGGTGATGAACAAACCTAATGTTCCTTCTTCTTCTATTTTTCTCACAACAAGATCCTTCTGAGATAAGTTGGACTGATAGGGAGTGACTGGCCCAAAGTCACCCAAATGGCTTTCATAGCCAAGGCAGGACTCAAACTTATAGCCTTGCCACCTAGTGTATTCTGGGAGTTGAAGTCCACACAACTTAAAGTTGCCAAATTTGAGAAACACTAGGGTTATATAAGCTAGGTCTTTGTCTTCAATCTTCCTTTTATTATGTTGCTTCTTTTACTCTGTATTATATTGTCATGTTCAAGTATTTATTTTGCTTGTTATTTCTTCCCTTATTGTTGGGCCTTTAACTATAAATCAATAGACTAAATAAGAAAAGTGATTTAATAAGCAGCTTTGAAGATCTTTAACCTCTCCTTTTATAGCTAGATGACCTAAGGTGAGGCCCAAATTATATTTTACTTAATACGGTATTGCCTTGGGCTCTTTCAATAAGATTTCTGCAAACAGGGTTGTGGATTGTACACTCTTGACATGGGAAAGGCCATCTGTTTCCACTGGAATTAAATTCTTAGATAATTTACATCTTCCAAACAGTTGGGAAATACTTGAGATAAGAAAAATGGACTTTCACAGGTAATTCTTTTCTTTGAAGTGAAAAGATTTCAGATTCTCCAGATGAAATGCTCGCAGCTTTCTCGTTTTGGGCGTGTTTCACATGGCCGGAATTGCAGTTTCCATAATCCAACATCTGGAGAGTTTTAGGTTTCAGAAGGCAGTTTCAGTTAGATTTCTTCAGGCTATTCTTTGAACAGAGAGCGGGTTTGGTGGTTAAGGAACCAGACTAGAAATCTGGAGACTTGTTAGTTCTAGTCCTGCTTTGCGTACAGCTAGGAGACCTTGAGCCAGTCAGTCTCTGTCATCCCTAAGAAGGAGGCAATAGCAAACCACTTCCAAACTCTTCCCAAGAAATCTGCAGGGATTGGTCCAGGCAGACACCAGGTGTCAACACTCACTCGAAAGCACCACCCTTCCCAAAAATTATTTGAACAAGCTTACAAAGTTTTTAGTGTAACGGGCTCTACCAGAAGCAATTCCCAACCTTTGGAAAAAGACTTCAAAATCATTGCCGGAACCCAGTTTGTTTATCCTGTTGGAAAGAAAACAGGGGAAGGGGAACAAGTGATGTAAGGAATTATAAAAGTATTATTTTAAGGTGAGACACCAGAGATCTCAAAAAGGTTCTGACCATCTGTCCATCTCCTTCTTTCTTTCTTTTCTTTATAAAGCTGATTTTATCATTTACAGAAGAAAGAGGGGAAGAGTAGTCTAGTGTGTAGATCAGAAAGAGAGGGGGAAGTTGGATGCATATCTGAATATGTTCTGAAAGATGTGGAAGGAGAGGTTTTCCCCAGCCAAATTGAATACCTTTGCCTGAGCGATTACTATCGTGAGCATTATGGAGACAAATACCCACTTTACTTATTTGATGTGTTTATTAGATTTTTAGCCTGCCTTTATTACTTTATAAGTATAAATCCAGGCAGTAAACATATATAATAGTTCTTCCTCCTGCTGCTGTTTCTCCCACAGCAACCCTGTGAGGTGGGATGGGCTAATAAGAGGGTGATTGGCCCGAAGTCGCCCAGGTAGGTTTTATGTCTAAGGTGGAACTAGAACTCACAGCCTTCTAGTGATTGGCTGGTTTTAATGCCTAAGGCCCGGGTGTCAAACTTGATCGCATCACATGAGGTATCGTGATGTATCACAATGTTTTTTGCCTTTGTGGGGCCGGGGTGGGCGTGGCCTGCGCGTGATGCATTTGGCCCACAGGCTGCCAGTTTGACAGGCCTGGCCTAAGGTGAAACTAGTTGTTAGCATTCCAAGTAATACACCCATAGCAAACAGAACTCCGAGGCAGGTAGATTCCTCAAAGGACAGTTTTATTTGGAGATATCATATTGGCACAGACTGGTGAAAACCGACTCTGAGAGTTCCCATGGTTTTCATCTAATTAAAAAGTAAACATTTCCCTTCCTCCCAAACAATAAGTCACATGGTCCAATCTAGGTGCTAGTCGGTTGCCTGGTTACTTCTCTCCTCCTCCTCCTCTCTCCAGCCAGCTATTGGAATGCCCTTGGTTCACAGGAAAAATAATTTTATTTTGGCTACAAAAGCCCAGCTATCTCTATTCCCCCCCCTCCCTATCCAGGGGTGGGCTGCTGGGGGTTCGGGAGAGCCCCTAGGTAAGATTCTGTGCAGTTCAGAGAAGCCCCAAATCCCACCCACCCTGTCCCATCCCTCCCAGGAGTCTCCAAGTGGCCTGTTTTCGATGCAGGTAAGTGCAGGATGCTTGCGGAGGCTTGGGGACAGCAAAAAACAGGCCTCCCAGAAGTTTGAGAAGGCCGGAAGTGGGCCTGTTTCTGGATTCCAGGGAGCCTCTGGAGCCAGGGAGGCCCTTTTCACCCTCCTGGAGGCTCAAGGAAAGCCTCCGGAGCCTGGGAAGGGCAAAAATGCCTACCCTGCTGTGGTGCAAGAGGCCAACTAGACCATACCCACCATGGCCACACCCACCCAGCAACCAGGCAGAGAACCCTTTGCTAATATTTTTGAAGCCCACCCCTGTCCCTATCCCTCAGCTCCAGTGAAGCTTGAAAAATGCTCTCAGTGAGACCAGCTTCAGAGTTGACACTATAACTCATGGTGTCCTGGTTTGTAGGCCAGCACCTTAACCATTACACCAAACTGGCTTTTCTGCTTTTTATCTTCCAGAACAGGTCCCAATATATTTGGACTGTCACTTTTGTATTTGCATCTCAGCTGCCACCAAAAAATCCACTCCCTTCTCTGCAGGACAACTCAGCCTCTGATAGGTACCTTTCCTGTTTTGGCATTTACCTTGGGAAGCCTTTATGTTCCCTTGATGGGTTTTTCTCATACCAGCTTTCAAAAAGAGATCTGTCTTCAAATCCTTCATCTGGACTTGGTATCTACGAAGACATGTGTTGTGTTAATGAAACTATAGAAGAAAGGGAAGACATACCATTATTATCAAGAGCTGTGGTGGCGCAGTGGTTAGAATGCAGTATTGCAGGCTAACTCTGCTGACTGACAGCAGTTCGATCCTGTCTGGCTCAAGGTTGATTCAGCCTTTGGACTGCTGCCAGGATGGCACCGACAACAGCTGCCTCACTGAAATGCTCTCTAATGGTTTCTTTATTGCTTATTATTATCTGTAATCCACTACGGATTTCATACTCATGAGATCATCTGCTAAGAAATAGGCAACGTTTCCTTAAGGAGCTGCTTTCTGATTCCTCACCCCCACCTGCCTTTGCAAATGTGGAGGAGATTCTAACTAATTCTCCGGTGCTATGGATTACAACAAAGAAAGCAAAGAACTGGCCTTGCCCATAAAGGAGACGAGGTAAACGAGTGGGAATTTTAAACAGACTAGGGGGGAAATAGGGGGAAAAAAAACTCCTCTCCCTTCAATCTTTCTGACTAATTTACGCTCACTTGCTAACAAGATGGATGAAATTCATCTCTTAAATAGATGGAATTCTGATTTTTACAATTCAGCTGTTCTTTGTTTTACTGAAACCTGGATTAATCCACAAATTCATGGGGACAACACCATATACATCCCAGGATTTCAGACATTTAGATCAGTCAGAATTGAAGAGACATCAGGTAAAACAAAGGGTGGAGGATTATGTTTATATATCAACAACAGTTGGTCTCAGGATATAACTATAATATATAAGTTCTGTGATGAAAACACTGGCTTCAGCAAACCTCCTTCCCAGGCAGAAGGAAATCAACAACTAGCAGATGACCTGAATGTGTTTTACTACAGGTTTGAAAGGAAATTACAGCCACCTATCTCCACAACCCACATCTCAAACACACCAACAACAGCCAAGCCTCCTACAACTGGCCCCAATCCATTGGATTCACAACCTTTGGTGATCACAGAAAAAGAAGTGCAAGATCTATTACACAGACAAAAGCCAGGAAAAGCACCAGGGCCAGACAAGATAACTTCTTCTTGCTAAAAAGTCTGTGCTGACCAATTGGCCCCCATCTTCATTCAAATCTTCAATAGATCACTAGAGATGTGCTATGTTCCTTCCTGCTTCACATGTTCTACTATCATCCCAGTGCCAAATAAGCCCTCCATCAAGGAACTGAATGACTACAGACCAGTTGCTCTAACATCTGTAGTTATGAAAATCTTTTAAAGGCTTGTGCTGTCCCACCTGAAAACCATCACGGATCCGCTGTTAGATCCCATGCAGTTTGCATACCGAGCAAATAGATCAACAGATGATGCTGTAAACATGGCTCTGCATTACATCCTACAACACCTTGAATCTCCAAATACCTATGCAAGAGTCCTCTTTGTAGAGCATTCAATACCATCATTCCAGACACACTTCTAAGTAAATTAAACCAACTAGCAGTACCTGAACACACGTGTAAATGGATCATAAGCTTCCTAACAGACAGGAAGCAGCAGGTGAACCTAGGCAAAATCATGTAAGATATCTGAACAATCAGCACAGCGCCCCCACCCCGCAAGGCTGTGTGCTTTCTCCACTTCTCTTCTCCCTATATACCAATGACTGCATCTCAAACGATCCATCTGTTAAAATACTGAAGTTTGCTGATGACACAACAGTGATTGGTCTCATTCGGGACAATGATGAATCTGCATACAGACAGGAGGTTATACAACTTGCCTCGTGGTGTAACCAGAACAATCTGGAACTAAACACACTCAAAACCGTAGAAATGATGATAGACTTTAGAAGAAACCCTCCCATACTACCACCTCTTACAATACTAAGCAACACAGTATCAACAGTAGAGACCTTCAAATTTCTAGGTTCTACTATATCACATGACCTAAAATGGACACCTAACATCAAAAAGTCATCAAAAAAGCACAACAAAGAATGTTCTTTCTGTGCCAACTCAGGAAGCTCAAACTGCCCAAGGAGTTACTGATCCAGTTCTACAGAGGAATGATTGAGTCTGTCATCTGCACCTCTATAACTGCCTGGTTTGGTTCTGCAACCCAACAGGACAGACACAGACTTCAGAGAGTAATTAGGACTGCAGAAAAAACAATTACTACCAACAATCAAGGACCTGTATACTGCATGAGTTAAAAGAGGGCTGTGAAAATATTTACAGACCCCTCACATCCCAGACAGTTTCAACTTCTTCCCTCAAAACGACGCTATAGAGCACTGCACACCAGAACAACTAGACACAAGGACAGCTTTATCCCAAATGCCATCACTCTGCTAAATAAATAATTCCCTCAACACTGTCCAACTATTTACAAAGTCTGCACTACTATTTCTGTTAATCTTGTCATCACTCCTTATCACCCATCCCCTCCCACTTGACTGTATGACTGTAACTTTGTCGCTTGTATACTTACGATTTAGATTGACTGTTTCCTAGTATGATTGATTGCTTATTGTACTCTATGACGATCATTAAGTGTTGTTTGTACCTTATGATTCTCAACTCCTGATGAATGTATCTTTTTTTATGTATACTGAGAGCATTTGCACCAAGACAAATTCCTTGTGTGTCCAAGCACACTTGGCCAATAAAGAATTCTATTCTATTCTATTCTATTCTATTCTATTCTATTCTATTCTAT